AATTTTTTTATTGAAAAACATAATTTGAATAACAGTCTACAGCCATCAATACAGTTTTCCAGTCAATAGGTACCCATACAAATTTCTTTCGTGCATGTCTGTTCCATATTGATCGATACTACTGTATATTGATCATTGTGTACCTAGTTTACTCAACCATGTTACTGCATAGGAAGCAATTCAATTTTGTGGTATGGAAGATAAACATTTGCGTCCACTTGATGTGGGTCTTACTAGAAAATCAGTATAAGATTTTAATGTTGTTACATTCATATTTATATTCACCATTGGAATTAATATACAGGACCTATTAAATTATGGGCATTGTAAAGAGCATTGATGCTGTGAGTATGTGGTATTTTAGAACGATAGGCTCTCAGAGTACTGTATTAGTGGTTTACCTCCTTTAGCTTCATCTGTATCTGCTGTCATTTTAAATGTTACAATATATTTTTATATGTGGTCAAATAGTTCAGTACAGTACAGTTTGGTTCCTCCTACTGATGCCAAAAGGTATTCTTCTCTAGCATCCAAATATAAGCTGTATCAGGAGCACTCAAGAAATTTGCCGACAGGGGGTCCGACATGTCCGAACCAAGGGGCAACTAGACGTTTGGTCAGGGTCCCCGAATAAAAAATTCCTGGCAGTGTTCAAGTGAAAAGTTCTTATGGCTTAGTATGGTCCAAATTGTGCTTTTAGACAACAATATTAGGGATTGGCGGCAATCGATAGGCACGTGAATGGTTTTGATCCGACAACCTTGTCATGTCGTCATGGGTCCAAGTCTGTCCAACGGAAGCACCACCACTGTGATGGCAGTCTTTGACTGAGTTAGTTTAGCTTGACCATAATGGTTCTACTTAAGTTGCCACCTTCATCTTGCTGAAGATTCTGCAACTGTCTAGAAGGTCATGTGTGTTGCCACCTTGAAACCATGTTATTTTTATTTCTTTGGATGTATTATTAAACTTACTTATTAAATTTTCATTTTCCTTAACCTGTTTACCTTCTCTCTCTCTCTCTTGAACAGGACTATTCAAACCACATTTATTTTGTTTTAAAAGTTACTTGGTCCTAGGCAGATATGGGCTATGTATTTCAGATATTGTACATGTCTCTTAATAATGGAGATGCAGCAGCAATATTTTCAACATTTTTATTTAAGAAAAGGATACTGAAAATTCTATATTCTGTAGGCTACTCATGGTGTCCTGTGTCCTTTGCTTCTTTATCTTTATTTCCTCATCTTATCATTTGTCTTAAAAGTTAAGATGGAATTTATTTTAACTAAAAGCCTTAGCTAAAACAGATTGCCTTAAATATGACAGGTTGTGCTTATATTTATTGTTTAACAGTTTACAAAAACAATAGAAATAGGCTTACAGTAGCCACAAGTGGTCTAAAAGTTTTGCAAACTTTTTTAAGTACAGTACTTATTATCAAACAAATTATTACATAAATTCAAATGACTTTGAAGTATTTGTACTAACCTGTAGTGAACTTAAAGACAGAAATGAAACACACATTAAATGTTAAAGTTTTAAACAGTTAAATAAAATAATTAATTGCACTCTTCTGTCAAACAAAAACTCAGTCTCAGCTACAGATGGCCCTTAAAGAAAAAAAAAAAGAGAATAGAGTAGGCACTAGGAAGATATTTATTAGGTGAGCACCTCCTACAAGTATTAAAGAAAACCATTATTTTATACTTGATGTTTTACATTTTAAAATGAAAATTAACATATTTGTTGTATATAGTCATGATGTGCCTGTATGTGGACATGATGTCATCATGACCATATCAGATTTCTCAAGTTCATAAAATACATTTCCGTAACTCAGATAATCTTCAGATTTCCGTAGTAAATACAGAATTTTTTCGTAGTACCTAATAATTTGCCTTGAGTGCAAGATATAAGTTCCTTAAAATTGCAGATACATCTGTGGAATTCCCTACAAACCGGACACAACAAAAATTTATGGGTCAGTTTTCAGAATGATTGGGCCCACTGTCAAATTGGGTTCGATCATTATGAAAATGGGCTCAATTGTTATGGGCCTGATTGTTATGGGCCCGATTGTCCTGGGCCCAATCGTCTTTGCGCCTGATTGTAATTTGATGTGGAATTCAAATCAACGGACAGGATAAATTTTTTACTGGCCACCATTCCTTATATAATTTATCAGTAATCTTACAAGTATGAGTTGTCTAGGGACAATGTAATCAAAGATCCTGATAGAAAATTCATTTGTCCTGAACTTGACCTATTTATTTATGGATCTAGGCCTATGATAAATTTCCGTAGTATTTTTGTCTATTTCAGTATGTCTGTAATTAGGCAAAATTTCCGTAGCAACTAGGCAACTAGGTTTTTTTTTTTATTATGACTGCATCAGAAATTGTTATAATGATTCTATAATGCAATTTTTGAAATAAAGTTTGAAAATATAGTTTTGTTATTATAACTCAAAAAAGTTACAAAAAAGAAGAAATAAAGTAGGTAGTAGGAAGATACAAAAGTGTTTCATACATTTCCTACTAGTATAAAAGAACAGTATTTTATAATAATGATTTACTTAATTTAAAATGATATTAAGCCAATTTGTTGTAACACTTTGAGTACATAAGGACAGAAATCAAATATTAAGTACAATTAAAATTATATTAAAACTAATACTGTACCTGCCTAGCTCATAAGCAATTAGGCTCCTTATTTTCTTACATGACGTGGCCTTGATAGCATAGCCCGAACGTCTGTGGCATGGTTTTGTAAGCAACAAGCCGCAATTTGGCACAGTATCCAACGTATGCTATCAAAGCTTTTGTTTAAAATTTTTTTTTTTTTAAATTTCCTAGAAAGGATACTATATATTAATTCATTGCTACCAGTACAACATTCAGATCAATAAATACCCACACATTTCCTTTATGATTTTTGAAGACCTGGATGACTGCTGTATTTATTTTGTTTATCAAGGTTGACGAAAAGGAATTGTTCGCATTGTGGGCCTACACCGTGCTACACGGAGCCTACCAGTTATAGCATGCATAATGCTTTGTCCACACTATTAACTTCTATGTGACAGATTTGTATGGTGTGCCTATATATGGGCATGATGATGTCACATTACACCCAAATATGGGTATTTGTCACATAAAGTTTGATAGTGGTGTGGACAGAATCTAAGAAGCAATACAATTCTATATCTACTTCTGGTGGACGATGCTTGATTTAAGTTTTTGTAAATTAACTTTTTATAACAGGAATATAGGATGTCACAAAACATCACATGTTGTTCAGTCTTTAGCCCTATCCTGGTGTTCATATTTTATTGACAAAAATATGTGGCATGCCTTATTATATGGTTATGATGACATCACATCATGACCATATATAGGCACATCATGACTATATATGGGCAACTGATAGTCTGGACAGGGATTTATAATGGGTAATATTGTCATTTCTGCTACAATAAACATAAGCTAATAATAATAATATATAGTGCTTCATGCACAAAGCCTCTAAGCGCTTCACATTACTACCCTGGTCATTGGATCAAACACCTATGGAACACATACTCAACACGAAATTAAATTATTAAATTAATAAGAACCCATGCGGGGTGAAATTAAGAAAATGAACCAAAAGATGACAACAGTTTTGTTATTATACCTCAGAAAAGTT